CGTTTCACAGCTGCAGCAGAACAAACACAACGGCGTCACCACAACGTAAGCCACACTCACACGAAAGAAACACCGACACTGCTGCTGACAGACATTCTCTGCCCCTGTTGGTGTGGTCTTTCCTTTCCACTCACTCAGGTTCTACCTGCTTGACAAGCGTCGTCACTGCTACCGCCAGAAACTCATGCAGGGTACGACACGCCACACCGCAGCGCAGCGCAGCCAGGCCTTGACAGTGTCAGGCACGCACGGCCCTTCTTCCTTCCTCCTCTCCCTCCCTCCGTTTGTTTGCTGCCCTCCCTCAGCTGCTGGTCTTCCGGGTGGAGCCATCCCGTCCTCCGTCGCCCAATCGTACGGCGGAGGTATCCACGCCCGCGCCACCAACAACAACAACGACCCCCGGTCCAAAGCCGTGCCGGCCACTGGCCGTCCCGCCACTCACACACAGCCGCCGTCGGGCGTCGACTCGCCCCGCACACCGCCCATCAGAGGAAATGTGAGCAGTTAAGACAGACGACCAACTCACTCACAGAGAGAGACATTTCATGTCAGTCATGTCAGTCTGCTGTCTGTGTCTGTCTGTCTGTGTTTGCCAGCGGTCTGTGGCCTACGGTCCATTCGCCGCAGATCGGGCACACCGTGGCCATCACCAGCAGCTGGAGCAGCAGCCGAGCCTCTCGCCCTGCTGCAGCTTCTCGCCCTGCTGCTTCCCCAAGCAGCCTGCGGCTACTGGGACCTTCCGGTCCCATGCTGGTGCCTCAATTCCGCCGAGCTTAATGCCCCTCCTGCCGCCGACGGGCTACTCTGTGGTGCCTCCCCACGTGGCCACCTACGCCAGCGCCCCCAGCACGGCCAGGGGCGTGCAGACACGTCCACCGGTGATGGCGCAGGTGACGGGCCAAGGTGGCGGTGACAACGTCACACACATGTACTCACCGCCTCTACAGGTACGTACGTACGTAAGTCACTGATACATAAAGTTAGCTAGTGAGTCACTGAGTCAGTGAGATGCATACAGACTGATCGACTTGATGGCTTCAGCCAGCAAACATGTTTGTCTATCGACCTGTTAATTAATACGTTCTCTGCTCTGTCAGCTGTCGGGCTCCCCTGGGTCGGCCCCCATCCCACAGCCGCATCACATCGCAGACGGACGAGAGCAGCCAGCTGGGGAGCCCTCTGCCAAGATGCGCGCCCTGCTAGACGTCGACGAATCCCAGGTCGTGAGGGTGGGTGGGGGCGTTGGTGTTGGTGGGCTGCCAGGCGAGCTATGTGGAGGCGAGGCGGCGAGCGACACAGACGAAGCCTTGGAGCTGCGTCCCGCTTTGGCCGAGGAGACACCGCGTGTGGTCGAGGAAGGGGAGGAGGACCGCCCGTCGCCCGCACCCCGCCCACGCACCAGCGAGCAGCCAGCTGGAGAGCCCGCGGGCGGCCCGTCGCTCTCTGCCGCGATGCGCGACCTGCTAGGCAGCGACGAATCCCAGGTCGTTAAAGTTGCCGGTGGGGCAAGAGTGATGAACACGGCCCGCCCCAAGGCGCGCGGACCCGCTCCGCTCGCAGCGAACTGCGCACAGCCACAGCCATTCGGTAAGAACAAGACAAATCGCGACCTTCACTTTGTTGGAAAGCACTCCGTTGTGCATTGTCTCGCTTACAGGTGGCAGATTGGATGCTGGTGCTGGTGCTGGTGTTGGTGGGGGCTCCGTCACGGTGGCGCCTCTCTCGATCAGCAATGCCGCCACCAGCAGACGCCCATTTGCCGAGGCGCCCGTGTCAGCGAGGTGAGAGAGGCGCCACAGATACACATACATAATGACACCCATTCCCTTCTGTGTGGATGGAATCCATCAGAGTTGATGCGTCGAGACGTGTGGATCCCCCGTCTGCGGCCCCACACGCCGCCCGCGAGACGGCCCCTGTGGTGCAGCACACCGATAGCCCAGCTCATGTGCTTCGCCCGGTGGTCCAGGCTGCGCGCATTGCTCAGCCCCAGCAGTCGACGTACTACCACCACCACCACCAGCCGTCACCTGTGCCGTTTGCGGCACTCAACGTCAACCCCAAGATCGGTAGGCGACGCACAGCGAGGACAGGAAGGCAATGAGAGAATGAGTGAGCCGTCGGACGTGTACGTGTTGGGCTGGGTCATGGTGTGCTGTGCTGTGCAGCTACTCCATCTGTGGTGCGCCCTGCCGTCGTGGCGCCGGCGCCGTCGCAGCCCAACGCGACAAACGGCATGACGAGCACTGGTACGCCATATACCCACACACACACACACACAGAGAGAGAGAGAGAGAGAGACAAGTGGACTGACTGGAGGGATTGATGCATTCAATGGTGACGTGTGTGATGTCTTTTCCCTTGTCAGTCAACTCGCCCTTCCTCCGCCCATTCATCCCGCAGTCGCCGGCCGCCATGCCACCCACACACACGCCGACGGTGCTGCCACCGCCGCCCCAGCAGCCCACGACAGCCACAGCCACGGCCGTGTATCGTCCGTATTTGAACGCCAACGTCCACCAGTACCCACCCGCCGCCGCATACCACGCGCACGGCGTGTCTCCCCGGGTGAGCCGCATCACGCCCCCTCCAGCGCCGCGGGTGACGACGCAGTGGTACTACCCTTCGCCCATGCCCTCGCCCGTACGCCGCTCTGGTACTGTATGTATGTACCATGGGAGAGGGAGGAGGGTGCACTGCATGCATGCAACAAACACATCCATGTGATGACTGACGTGGTACAGTAGCCAGCCACTCGTGTATGGACGGACGGCATATCTCTCTTGTCGCTCGGTGGCGTGGTCTGGTGTGGCGTGCAGGGGGCAACAAGAAGAGCTGCGGGGTGGGGCTCTGGGGCTGCTACTGGGGGAAGTGAGTGGCCGGTAGGCAGCAGAACAGCCACACACGTGTTGAGACGCTGTGCTTTCATGTGTGTGTGGTGTGTGTGGCAATCGTCAGATCTCGGGTATGCCAACCACTTCAATTGAGGGATTGAGACGGCCGATAATTGAGAGGCAGGGCCATGGGTGGAGGGGTGAGTGCGTGTAAGAGTTTCTTTTGAACGGAGGAGCCGCCAAAATTGACCACTTGATTTGAGAAGAGATGGAAAGAGATGGACGGATCAGTGAAGGAATGGCCCCATGACACTTTCTGAGTTGACCGGACCGCAGTTTCACGCTTTTCCGTGTGTGTGTGTGTGTGTGGTGCAATTGGCCGGCTGTCAGTCTGTCTGTCTGCCTCAATATGCGTGTGGGCGGCGCTGTGTGTACTTGGGGGAGGGATGGGGAGAGAGACAAGGACAAAAGAAGAGCATGAAACGGTTAGGGACGGTCGTTCGTTGTCTGTCGGTCAGCTCCTCTGTGCTGCTTTGTGGAATAAATAGCAAACGGCCGGAACGGCGGCACACACCACCCCACTCATCGCACCTCACCACGTCAGTCACACCTCCCACCGCTCATCTCACGACCTAATCTGATGCGTCACGCCATGTGTGTATCAAAAGACATACAGCGAGTTCAACCACACACACCGGTACCGTCTCCACATACATTCACACAAATCGATAACACACACATATGGCGATGGGTGAATGTGGTCTGCATCCCTGCAGCAGATCGTTCTGCCCCTTGCTTAGAGAAAGCCTCGCAGACATGTATTTACCGAGCAATGTGGTCTACACAACACACATCCACGAGCTGGTACGGCAAACAAACGCACATACAGATGGCAGCCAACTCGCCGTTTCCCCCCTCGCCCAACAACAGCCACAACGTTGCATCGCAGCCCACTGAACGCGCACATTGACCTCACCTCATCTCCTGCTTGTGTCAGCCGTCACCTCAGTCCTCTTCTATCGGTCGAAGACCATAGCTGAGATGACAGCCCCCAGCACCACTCGCGCAAGCCGAGTGGTCCGCGGGAAGCGGTCCTTGAAGGCGCGACCTACGCCACACACAGCCGGCTCGCTTGTCTCGATAACTACACCCACTGCGAAGGAATCACAGGACAGCACAGACAGCCGGCGAGAGTGAGTGCTGCGTGTTTGTGTGTATGGGTTTGTCGGCCCCCCTGTCCCCGTCCATGCTGGGCTGACCGTTCCAGTAAAGAATGAAGCTGATCCATGCGACGAACGGATGGCTGGCGTTGGTCAACACGACAAGACGATAGTAAGATCTGACGCCAGATGCGCAGCTTGACACCGTTGTGGTGCATCCCCCCACTGGCATGTGGGGGGACTGTGTCATAATGGTGCTCAGCCGGCCGTTGTCGGCATGCCTGAATAGTAAAGGACACACACATAACATAGATACACTCGTGTGTCGTGGCAATGCCCACACAGAGTCACGTCCCGCCTCACTTGTCGATGGAGGACTCGGTGGTGCAGGTGTGAATCTGGTGAGTGTCCTTGAAGTGGCAGATGATGGCGTTCTTGGCAAAAGACGAAACGGACGAAAAGTTAAGAGCGGGGGTCAGCGGCCGCAAGCCGTCGAGCGGAAAATATGTGATGCTGCTGCTGGCTGGGGGGTCATGCGGCTGTCGGTGCTGCTGGTAAGGATGGCCGGCATGGAGTCGCGGGTCGATGGTCACTTCATAGCCGACCTCGTCCTTGATGGCCCGCAGTGTGTTGCGGTGCTGGAACATTTCGAAGGTCGCGCCATTGCCGAAGCTGATGTGACCGCCGACCATCTTCAGCTAAGCCAACACACGCGGAGCGGCCAAAAACACCTGCGCACACAACGTGTCACCACACCACACAGCGATTGAGAACCATCAGTCCGCCTACCGTCTTGTTTGTATGTGTGTTGACATCGTCTGCCGTGAGCATGACGGGCAGCGTACAGCGGCCACACTGGCTGGCTAGCCGCAGTATGTCGGCCACTTCGTCCCAACTCTGGTCCTCCACCAGCCACATGGCCGCCAGCAGCACACGCGACCCTGACATCGATGGCCCAAAAGCCAGCACGGTGTTGAGCCGGGACCCGTCGGCGAGCCGTTTGCGGTGCAGCGACTGGGTGAGGCATGTGCGGAGGGCGGCGGGAGGGAAGTCGACGAGGCTGTGGTAGCGGGCCGCCATTCTGAGGCTGCCGATGTCCTTGGCCTCGAGCAGCAGGACTCGCGAGTCACGAAAAATGCAGCGGACTGCCTCACCGTTGATGGAGGGGGAGTCCACGTCGCTGCTTCGGCTGCTGATGACTGACATGACCATGACGGAGTGACTCACTCAGGCCCCCACTACCTGAAGAGGAGGACGCCAAACACGCATCAACCGCTGTGTGCATGACTGCGATTGAATTTTGTTTGAACCTACCGACCCGAACGGCATGAGTCGGATGACGCAATGAGTCTTCGACCTCTTCCCTCGCGCTGCCTCTCGTCGGAGCCGTCAGACGACTGGACTGGACAGAGAGATGGCGCAGGGTTTAGAACCCTTACCCTACACCCTATTTGTAAGCTCGCAGGGACAGCGGAAGCAACGCAATTTGGTGATTTCCGTGTTTGATAGGGTGCGGTTGGCCTGTCAGCAGCGTCGGATGAGAGAAACCATGGAAATCAACGAGTGTTTGCGCAATTCTTTGCGCAGAAGGAGAGAGAGATTTGTTCCAGCGCGTCAGCCATCAGATGCAGCCACGTCAGCCGCGGCAGACGACAGACTGATGACCGCCTCCCGTCCCTTGTCACAAATCCGCCACCAATCCCCACCCCGCCGCTCCCGCCGTTCCCGCCTGTTCATCGCCTCTTGCTTGCTGCTTCTCATCCACTGCCTGCGGCACGGTCAGTGTGAGTTGGTGTCGTGGGACCGGCGTGATGTGGGCAGCAACAAGCTGGGTGAGCTCAAGGCGTTTGGGGACTGGGACAGCGACAAGTTCCTGGACCTGATAGTGTTTGACAAGACGAGCAAGCCGCTGGAGCCGCGGCTGACTGTGAGCATGTGGGACGACGGACGGCAGAAGTTCAGGGCGGGGCCGGGCGTCGACACGGACAAGGACCTGCAGACGGTGTGTCAAGGAGAGGGAGGGAGGGAGGGAGAGGGGATGGGTGGCATGAATGTGTGCATGTGTGTACTGATTGTGTGCAGGTGATAGCCACTGACTGGAACATGGATGGCCGGCTGGACCTGTTTGGCATCTTCGGACAGGTCGAATTCAACGATGACTCCACTGCGTGAGCAGACACACACACTTGCACGCACCCACCGTGCGCCATAGATCCATCCATCCACCCCTGTATGTCCGTGTGCGCGTCATCCATCCATCCATTCATCCATCAGTTATCGCGTCAAGGCATGGTGTCAGACGAGGGATGCCGAGGCCGACCCCAAGCTCGTGTGGCAGTCGGCTAACGAGTCCTCCGTGCAGCCCTTCATCGTCGACATCAACAGCGACGGCAAACCTGACCTCCTCGGCCAGACCGTCAAGAAGGAGAGGGGCGAATCGCCGCAGCGGTTTGTGTGGATCAACCGCAGCAAGAGGAATGTGTGTGAGGACGACGAGCCCCACAAGGGGGACCTGTTTGAGTACCGTCTGTGGGAGGACCTCTACTACGAGTACATCCACGACGATCGCATGGACAAGGGAGGGGGGGTGGGGGTCATCGCCAGCCCACACAGCAGCGCCTTTGTCGACATCGATGGCGACTGCGAGGCCGACATTGTCTTCGTGAGCTGAGCCCCTCTGCGCTCCTCGACTGCCTGCATGTCTGGTCTACATCTCTCTCTGTCCCTCTCCCTGACTGCCTGTGAGTGTGCAGGATGTCCAGTCGCCCAATCATGGCGGCCAGCGGGAGCTGGAAATATGGCTGCATGAGAAGACCGACAAGAAAAACCGTACGCATCTCATCTCATCTCTTCACACACACACACACACACCAGTGACGTGACATCAGCCAGATCGATGTGAATGTGGTTGCTGTGCTCTGCTGTCTGATCGATCCATTTATTTGTCCATCCAGAGGATGCAATATACCGTCGGCACAGACAAAAGGAGCCAACGCTGCTGCCCGAGGGTGAGCAGACACGCACAGAAGGCCTACCTTTTCTTCGTATGTATCGGGGTGTGTGTGTGTGTGTGTCACTAAGGTGCGGGTCAGCTGATGTTTGCCGACTTCAATGCCGACGGCACTATCGACATCGCCTTCCCCTCGTGCACTCGCGACAAGTTCTCATGCGACGACTGCTGTGTGCCCTCCAACAACGTCATCTACATGACCGGTGGGGTGGGGCGGCACACACACACACACACACACGGGGCGGGGCCTCGGGTTCTGGGGGGCATGCTGCAGATTAGATTGTGGTCTGCGTGTGGCCGCACTGCATGTGTGGTGTGCAGCCAACCGGCAGCAGCAGATGTGTCCGAGCATGTGGATCAAGAAGTGTAGGAAGACGGGCAGGCAGGCAGGCAGGCAGGCAGGCACACACACACACATGCCTATCCTCTGCTCGGCGTGTCTGTCTGTCTGTCCATGTGCGCAGCCCGTGACTGCCGGCCACAGGGAGCCCTTTGCCAGAAGGACCTGGGCTTCGCCGTCTCCTCATTCGCTGGTACGAAAGAAGAAACAACCGGACCACACACACACACACACACACCACCACAACCGTGTCAGCTGTGGTCCTCCCTCCTCCCTCTCTGCGGGTGCATATGATGTGTGTCCCTCCATGTCAGCGGACAGTCGCGACTTCACCGTGTCTGCGTTGGTATCGGACACCGACGACCCCAAGCTCACCTTCACGGGCGACTTCCGCACCCCCGTCACTCTGCGTGTGGGCGACTTCGACCTGGACGGCTACCCCGACCTCATCGGCACGGTCCAGGCCGCAGACCAGCCCGCCAAGATCCGTTTCTTCAAAAACTACCCCACATCAGACGACGTGAGACGAGACGAGAAGGGGGGATGGGATGGGTGGGGTACGTGGTGGATGGTGTGGATGGTGTGCATGTTGCTGTGGGTCTACGTGTGTGCCTGCACTGCGCTGCACAGGGGGCGTCTCCGCTTCGCAAGTTCAAGAAGGCCTACGAGCTGTCACTTGGTGGGGACGAGGTCACTGCCGACGGGGCGGCTTTCTTCGACGTGGGCGAAGATGTAAGGATCTCACACACATACAAAGAGACACACAGACACACACAGACGGGACACGCGACACACGCTCCGGACGTCTGCTGTGCGATGACGTGTGTGTGTGCTGTCATCCCTCTGTGTGTGTGTGCAGGGCATATTGGATGTGATTGGTTTTGGCAAGAAGGTCAAGAACGGCAAAATGGTGCAGAGCGTCCTGCAGGTCTTCGAGCAGAAAGCAGACGCCGATGTCTTCTTCCTCAAATCGACCGGTATGTCTGTCTGTCGGCCAGCCACCCGGTCAACCGCCCGCCGCTCTTCATCATCCGTCAACAGTCCTCCCTGTTATGTGTCTTATGTGTTGGTTCGCAGGTCTGAATCCCGTTTGTGCGGTCAATTGCCCCCCTCCCGGCCCGTCCATCGCCAAGCCGAAACCATACGGCGTCAGCTACCACGGTCATCAGCAAAAACCACGCACGCTCATTTACTTCAAGTGCGGGCACACAAGACTTTGGGCTTGTCTTGTGTGCAGGTCCGTCGTTCAAGATAACGGTGACGGATCTGAATGGCGTCAAGACGCCCAAGCAGGCCGCACAGCTGCCCCAGTCGGCACACACGCCGCTGGGGCTCCCATTCGTATTCTTTGGGTCAGAGAAGCGGCACGCACTCCACACCCACTTACGGACTGCTTCCATTCTATGCGCCGCGCCCTTGTGGTTTTCGTTGTTATTATATAATGTGTGCCAGTTTGGGTCGGACCAACAACTACATAGAGGAGTTCTTCATGGGCCTGCCGCTGAATGAGCGCACCCGCAGCCGCATGTGGACCTCGCTCATTCCCAACACACAGGTCATCGTCAGGCCCTACCCTCAGGCGGTGTCCTCAGAGTAAGTGACCTGACCACCCCACCCACAATATGATGCTCCCCTTGACGGATCTGGATACGATACGTGCGTGTGGGTGTGTGGACGTCCCGTCAGCTGGTCGATTGAGCTGTCCGTCAGCCCGTCCAAGAAGTTCCTTTTCATCCTGCTGGTGCGTGCGTGCGTCTGCGGGTGTGGTGCATGCGAAAGGGGTGGCAGCAGGAGGTCACCTCTCTTGTGTGTTGTGTCTGTTCTGCATGATGGATCAGGCGACGGTGACGTGTCTGTTGATCGTCGGTGCCATCATATTCTTCCTCGACAGAAGGGAAAAAGTGCGTGCGATGAAGTGGCTTGGCTGCCCTGGCTGGCTGGCTGCGCCGTTGTGTGTCAGTCATTGGTTTGTGTCTGTCGCATGTGTGCGGTGTGGTGTGGTCAGGCTGAGGATCTGAAGGAGCAGCAAGAGAAGTTCCGCGTCCACTTCATCACCGCATGAGCGAATGATGGAGGGCGCGTGTCGATGGACGGATGGTGGGTGGGTCTGTGTGCTGGTTTATCGGGACCTCACGTACGTGTGGCGATAGAGAGGCGGGCTCTCGTTTGTTTGTTCGGTGGACAGGCTTGGCTTTCATTCGTCCAACCAAGATTATTTGTCAAAACAGACAGGATTTATCGTACGTAATACGTCTCGCCAGGCCTCAATGAATAACACACCAATGGGACAGCCGTCACACACAGACGCACAGTGCCATCAATCAGATCAGTCAGTCTTCCCCACGGCCCATCTCACTTTACATTCATCCACAGAAAAACTCTTCCTTCGCCTACGTCCCTCTAGCCACTGCAGGCAGCTGTCCCGTCCCATAAGCTTGTCTATTCACACACGCTGTCAGTCAGCTAGGGCACCAATCAATGCGTCCGTCCGTCCCATAGGGGCTCTACTCTACCTACCTACCCCTACCAAGGAAACAAACCGGTGGCTGGCTGTCTGTCTCCCTCTCTCGGCCTCTCCATGCTCCCATCCATATGCCCACTCACTTCCACACGCGTGAGGCCTTGCCCTCCTTCTCGAGCTCATCCCGGTCCTCAAAACGGTCCAGCACATCGGGCGTCGGCCGCTGACAGACGTCCGTCCGACCAAACACCGGGTACCTCGAGGCAGCGACGGCGTCGTACACGAAGTCGCGGATGCCCTCAGGGATAACCAGCAGATTGTATGCCAGCTTCTCCGGGTAGGGCAGGTATTTGGCCACATGCAGGGCGGCCGTTGAGGCGCGGTAGACCTTGCCAGTGTCGTGGTCGATGAAGGCAAAGCGCCGCAGCAGGTCGGCCTGTCGCAGCTTGACGGACGCCGCGAGCTCCTCGCCCTTCCTTGTCTGCACGCTGCAGAAGTGCAGCAGCTTCTGAGGGTCACGCCGAATCACGTACCAGATGCCTGAAAGCCAATCACACACAAAAACATGAGAGGGCTGCCTGCCCGCGTGCTGCTGGCTTTCGATGTGTGTGGCTGTGTTGCCTGCGTTGCAGAGGTTGCACACGCCATCATAAAGGATGATGCCACCTTTTCCAGCCTGAGGCATCCTCTGATCTGCCTTCAACAACGATGAATCGATCAGCAGAGGATAAATTGCTTTTCACTTCAGCAGTAGCTTCCGCTCTCCCCCTCCTCTTTCCCTCCCCTTCGTTTCCTCTTGCGAGCTTAGATGCGCGATCCCTTGTTCCTTTGATGCACAGCCGTACGTTCAGGCAACATGGTGTACAGCTCTGCAGGCAGCACTGAGATCTCGGCTTTTCTACCGAAAAAATGATGATGATTTGTTACGGATGCCTCCACCGGCATGTGCCGCTTTGGAGCGCTATGCAGCTCATGGCTCAGCCAAACAAACAGCGATGGAGAAGCTATGCTCGGAGAGAAGGACTTGTAATTAATTTCTCGAGAGAGACCGCGGCGGCCGCGTTATCGGGGAATCAAGCCGTCGCCTTGTCCACCTACCTCTGCTGCATCGCATCACCTACCCGGCCATCCACAGATCCCCGCCCACGACCCGCACGCACAGCACATACATGGCGATCGTCTGAACTCTACCGTCCCTCCGGCTCATCTGTTGCCTTCACGGGCAACGACAGCGGTCCTCTCTCTACATCCACTCACATCTCCCCTCATGGGCGCAGCCCTCTCCACAGTCCTGGCACGCCTCTTGGCATGTGGCGGGGGTGGCAGATTATGGCTGCAACACGTGCCCAGGACGGCCACGCAGGCGGAGCTCGCTGAACACATGGGCCACGCAGGCCAAGTCGTGAGGCTAAAGATCCTCAAAATCATCTCATCTGCGTGAGCAGGCCACACAGCAAAGACAGACAGACAGACTAACAGCCAGACCGGGGAGGTCGGGCAATTACACTGCTTGGTTTCTGTAACTTCGTATTTCTTTCTCTATCTCTTTCTCTGTGTGTGTGTCAGTGTGTGTGAGTATGAGAGTGTTGAGGAGGCGCAGCGTGCCGTCCGCGAGCTCAACAACCAGGTCTTCAAAGGCAACAAGCTCTACATTCGCGCTCTTCCTGCCGGGCGTCAAGCTGACACCACGACGGCCCCTTCGGAAGTCCGTGCAGCCACAGGCGCGTGCATTCCATTCCGCCTTGTCCCTTCCTCCCGACACCGTGACGGCCGGAGCAATGCGAGACGGACTGGCAGAGGTACTCATACGGACCGTGTGCAGCCAAAGAGGACGGTTGTGTGACGACTGACATTCGCTGCCTCTATCTATCTATCTATGGATGGATGGATGGATGGATGGGTGTGCTATAAGTCGGTGGAACGTCGGTCTGTTCAGCTGCTTCTCACATTTGCCCACCTGTATGCTGGGAACCGTCGGATGGCTCTTCGCACCCATTCTGTAAGAAGCGATGGATGCATCCACCAAATACACTACACTAAGCAAACACGCCCTGGTTTGTCTGTCTGTCGTTTTTTCTGCAGAGGCTACCTCAAGGTATGTCGGTATGTCGGTATGTCGGTATGTCTGTCTGTCCATCGAGTACAGAGCAGACGACGATCCCACAGACAGACAGACAGACAGACAGCTCCATGATGGCCATGCCATGAGTGCACTGCACCTTCAATGGGGTTATGTGTGTAGGCGCGGGCGGTGGCGGGCGCGGGCGTCATGGACGTGCGGTGGGGTGTGCTCTACTTTTGCATCATGCCCCTGTGGCTCTACGTCACCATCTTCACCATCTTCTTCTCCAGGAGAGAGGCACACCTCAGGTGTCTGTCCCTACTGGCGCCTCTCATTGTCGGCTTCTTCATGTGTGGCCTCTACCGTAACTATCGGAGCAAACTCCGAAGGTCAGTCAGTCACACCAGGCAGGCAGGCTCATCGCTCTGGTTTGTATGTCTGTCTGGTGTACCATGTGTGTGTGTGTGTGTGTGTGTGCGTCTGTGTGTGTATCCACTCATAGCCATTACGACATCGAGGCGAGCGACGGCTGCGGCGATTGTTGGGTCGTCTTGCTGTGCTGGCCATGCAGTGCCATGCAGGAATACCGGTAGGTAGGTAGGGACACTGGCCTCTTTCGGAGGGCTCAGCCTCGTGTGTGTGTGTGTGTGTGTGTGTGTGTGTATAGGCACGTCTTCTGGGGAGGTCAAGGGCACACAAGTGGAGCGGCTCAAGCACCTCAAGTGGCCGCACCTGTCTATCAGTCCGGGCGAGTGCCACAAACACAGGGGACGCCGCAGCTCTTTACTTAGCCGTTAATCAATCTGAATGACCGTTCCTTCGGTCTTTTTCCAAAGACGGACATTTAGATGGCATTGCAATCACACACGTGTCTGAACACCACGCGTGTCTTTTTATCTGTCTGGCAGTATAGCTAGCGCATCATGTTGGTGTGCGGCATGGGGTGTGCAACAGACACACACACTTTTTGCATACAGACGGAGCTTTTTTGCTGCATGCTGTGTGTCCTGTGTGTGGGGGCCTGTCCGGTGACGCTGTGTGTGTTGATGTGACGCGCGCATGGCCAGTGAGTGAATTAATTCGTCCATAGAAGGCCTTGCAGACGACGATGGATTTGCTTGCTTGCCTTTAAGTACTGCATACTCATGGGACTGCTGCAGATGAGCACGTGTTGATTCATCAATGAGATCATGGATGGGATCAATCCCTCCTCAAGGTCTGCGAGCTATACAGGCATGGGAATGGGACTCTCTCTCTCTCCTGCCTTTTACTTTCTCGTCTTACTTACCGCCTTCTCGACCTCTGACACATCTATCGCATCGTCTCTCTGAACCACCTCCACCCGCAGGCTGCCGCAGTGATGGAGCTGGCTGAGATCTTGGGCGGCGGCCGCGGTACCATCGGTGCCATGAGAGAGGCGGCTGCCGAGACGGCCGATGACGGTATCACGAATGCTGAGAGGAAGGTGTTCGTGCAGCACCTGCCCAAGACGGCGACACAGGTATAGACACACAGACAGACAGACAGACAGACAGACCTGCGCACTTTGTTCATGACCCCGTTCCCAAATGGCCCCGTTCTGCGCAGGAGGAAGTTGCGAAACACATGAGGTGCCCTGCGACGAGGGTGCAGATTTTGAGGTCGCGATATGAGCAAGGCCCCATCGGAGCATGGTCAAGACAGACAGACAGACAGACAGGACAAAGAGGGGCACACACTTCTGATGTGATTGGTGTGTGTGTGTCAGTGTGTGTGAGTATGAGAGTGCTGAGGAGGCGCAGCGTGCCGTCCGCGAGCTCAACAACCAGGTCTTCAAAGGCAACAAGCTGTACATTCGAGAGGTAGCCCCAGGCACCAAATATACGGCACCTGCGGAAGACTGGGCCGTCAGACCGGCACAGAGCAGTGGGCAACGGACTCCCACGGGTACACATGTACCGAGGACTGCCTGCCTTTCTCGATAAATGGATGGATGGATTGATGGATGGACGTGTGTGTAGGTCGGTGGAACGTCGGTCTGTTCAGCTGCTTCTCCCGTATGCCGGATGTCTTGCTGGGAACCGTCGGATGGCTCTTCGCACCCATTCTGGGCTACCTGAAGGTATAATGATCCCACCCCCCACACACACACCACACCATGCTACGAGTGCACGTATCTGAATGCGTGTGTAGGCCCGGGCGATGGCGGGTGCGGGTCTGAGGTCGCTGTGGTGGGGTGTGCTGCTGCTGTGCGGCATCCCGCTGGCCTTCTGGGGTTTCGTCATCTGGGCTTTGTGCCTAACCCCGCCCGACGAGCTGTCGAGACTCTGGATCCTGTGCATAATGCCCCCTGTTGTCGGCATCGGCATGTTCAGAATCTACCGCCGCTATCGGACGGAGCTCAGAAGGTCAGCTAGATGTGAGCCCATCACACGCAGACAAGTGAGGGGGTCTGCGTGTCTGTCTGAGTATACTCTGTGTGTATGTGTGTCTGCGCTTCTGTCAGCCATTACGACATCGAGGCGAGCGACGGCTGCGGTGATCGGTGCGTCGTCTTGCTGTGCTGGCCATGCAGCGCCATGCAGGAATACCGGTAGGTCATGCAGAGAGACAAAACAGGCGTGGGCAGGCACACAAACAGCTCGCCTTTTTCGGAGGGCTCAGCCTTGTGTGTGTGTGTGTGTGCGTGATAGGCACGTCGTCGGGTACCAAGAAAGCAGGCGTGGACAGGCTCAGCCGGCCAGCGTGGCTGCCCCTGTCCATCAGGTCGCGACAGGGCCAGACACGGCCGCAGTGCCGCAGATCTTCACCAAGTGACCATCCGCGTGTTCTGCGGAAGTATATCTATATGTGTTGGTGTGTTTTATCCAAGCGCATAGTCGGCGCACACATTCTTCCTGCTTTGCTTTGCTGCTGTACTGCTATTTTTGCTGCGGCCTGTCTGTCTGTCTGTTGGGATGTCATCGGTTGGGTGCGTTTGTCGTACAAGCCAGCCCAGACAGGCCGGCAGCTGTGTTTTTCGTGGACGGGACGGTGTGCAAGAGACGCGACCGACCATGTTGACGTGGTGGCCACATTGCCTGTTGGTGTCTGTCTCGTAGGTCTCTTCTCTATTTGTTGTGGGTGTCTGTCGCGTGATGTTTGTTGTGAGCGGCATCTGACAGTGCGCTCATGCCTGCCGGTCAGAGGGCACACGGGGACGTTTGGCTTCGAAACGCGATCGATCTACCTCTCTGTGCGTGGGTGCGTGCGTGACATCTATATGATATGGGCGTACTCTTGCCATTGAATTAATTCGTTCACTCACGAATGATAAAGTTGCCACCCACATCACACCATCACATCACACCCTCTCTCCCTCAGTACTTCCTCAGCGTCACATTGAGCCTCCCCTCCCTCATTCTCAGCCCAAACGGCGCCGAGTGCGCGTGGATCTGCCCAACCGCGTGGTAGATCATCCTCGACGCGCCGCCGAAGATAAGCAAATCTCCCGAGTTGAGGCGAACACGCTGCTCCTTCGCCCCAAACATGTCATCTGACGGGCGGCTCTCGCAGTAGAAGAAGTCGCACGAGTCACCGATGGACAGAGAGACGACCGGGCAGCCTGATGGAGAGAGAGGCGCATAGATGTTGGAAGGGTGTATGGGTGGGTGTGTTTGCCATGTGTGTACCGAGTCGTTTTGACTCCTCGCTCTCCTCTTGGTCTTGGTGCAGCCCCAGCCGGCCGCCGTGTGAGTAGAAGTTGCACAGGGCGATGTCAGGCGGGACGACCGGCACCTTTATCAACGACCCACACGCATACTTGGACCGACTCTTGTTCCTACACACATACACATGCACACACGACCATATGTGGTCCGGGGTGTCGACAAGTCAGTCACCTCTTGAGCTTGTCAATGGTCTCCTTGATGACAGGCGCGTAGAGGTCCTTGAGGACGGCTGGCAGCTCGTGCACCGGCAGCCCATCCACGTCTGTCCGCTCCGTCTCGTACCGACGCTCCTGGGCGTTCCAGTGCTTGCCAAGACACAACATCCGCAAGTGTAATGACGACTGCACACACGCGGAGAGAGAAAGGGGTATGTGGGTGGCTGCGGGTGTTCGGGGGGAAGGGTCGACAGACCTTTTGGTCGCCCTGCTTCTTGGCCTCGTAAGTGGGTGTGTAGAAGCCGCCCTTGCCGACGCCCATCTCCCGCACCGTGTCAATGATCCTCTGCTGAGTGGGGAGGTCCATGTACTCGCGAAGCAGCACCATCCCGTCACGCAACACGACTAGCTGCAGCATGCACACACATATGATGGACACGCACTGGGTTCGTGTGTGCGTGTTCGGGTGTGTGTGGCGTGCCCTGACGTACCCCGTCATCGGTGTCGCCTTTGGCGAACTTGGTCTTGCCCACCTGCACCATCCGCTTCTCACCTCCGCCACCCCCACTACCACTACCATCCTCAGCACCTTCACCCGTCGGCCAGAGGTCAAAACCGACGGCAACCCGCTCAAATGGCTCCTTGACCAGCTGCAGACGACCGCCCCGCCTCTCCCTCTCTCGTGGCGATGCGTCATCTGGCTCGTGTGGGCCGTTCTGGGCCATCTCTGTGGTGAGGCCGTTGTGTGTGGGCGGGGAGGGGGT